CTCTTATTTCTGTTACTAAAATTAACTCTACGGCTAATTCTTTGGGTTTTTCTAATTTTATTGCAAATTGTTCTAATAAAATCTGGATCATGTGGAATAGCAATATGAAGGTGAACATTTTTTTGGATTATCCTCAAATTATTAACTATCACATTGAATATTTTAATTTCAAATTCCATGCTTCTTTTATCTATGCTGCTTGTTCTAGAAGTAAGAGATTTCCTCTTTGGGATCAAATTAATCAATTTGCTCTTACCATTAATGGTCCCTGGTGCATTGGAGGTGATTTTAATATTATTTCTAATGCGTCTGAAAGAAGAGGTGGTAATCTTCCTAACCCTGCTGCTATGGAAGATTTTAATACTATGATTTCTGATTGCAACCTTCATGACATTGGTTTTACTGGTTGCCCTTTCACGTGGAATAGAGCTAATTTGTGGCAAAGACTTGATAGATTTCTCTTTAACAATGATTGGCACTCTATGCATTATTTAACTACTGTGGAACATCTTAGTAAAACCCTCTCTGATCATTCTTCTTTACTTTTATCTCTTAATAATAATAATTATGTTGGCAATGCTTCTTTCAGATTTCAAAACATGTGGCTCTCTCATGATGATTTTATGAATGTTATTAACACTAATTGGTCTGCTCCTGTTTTTCCTTATAACAATATTTCGGGCATGTGTCGTCTATGGTCTAAATTAAGTCGTCTTAAACAAGTTTTAAAATGGTGGAACAAAAATGTTTTCAAAAATATTTTTAACAACATCAAGAATGCTGAGAATGTGGTTATTGAGATGGAAAACACTTACTTACTAGATGATTATATTGCTAATCTTAATTTACTCAATACTGCTAAAATTAATCTTGCTCATCTTCATGATCAAGAGGAAAATTTCTGGAAACAAAAAGCTAATGCTAAATTTACCACTGAGGGGGATAGAAATACCAAGTTCTTTCATGCTATTGCTAATAGAAATAGATCTAATAACTTCATATGTAAAATTATGAACGACGATGGTTCTTTTATTGAGTCGGATTCTTCTATTTGTAATTCTGGTGTGGATTATTTTAAGAATACTTTCAATGATAGTTTTTGCAATTCCCCTATTACTAATCCTGCTATTATTCCTAAAATCATTGATGATAATGATAATATCCTGCTGTGTTGCCCTCCCTCTGAGTTGGAGATTTACAATGTTATTATGGATTTAAATGGTGATTCTGTTGCTGGTCCAGATGGTTTCACGACTAAATTCTTTCAAAAAATGTGGAGTATTATTAAGAAAGATATTATTGATGTTGTTAATGATTTATTTGTTGGTAATCCTTACCCTAAGTTTTTTACTTCTACGAATATTGTTCTTATTCCGAAAGTCAATGGGGCTAACAAGTGGAAAAATTTTAGACCTATTAGTCTTTGCTCTTTTTTCAATAAGCTTATTTCTAAAATTATTTCTAATCGTCTGGTGAACATCCTTCCTAGAATTATTTCTATTAATCAAACGGGTTTCGTGAAAGGTAGAAGTATATTTGACAATGTCTTGCTTACCCAAGAGATGGCTCATGAGATCAATACCAAGTCAAAAGGTGGCAACATTATTGTTAAGCTGGACATTTCTAAAGCCTATGATAATCTCAACTGGAATTTTCTTTATAAAGTGCTCTCTTTAGTTGGCTTTAGTAATGTTTTCATTAACTTGATTAAAAACAGCATTGAGAACTGCTATTTTTTTGTTATCATCAATGGTAGGAACCATGATTTTTTCAAATCTTCTAAAGGATTAAGACAATGTGATAATTTATCCCCCGCTCTTTTTATCATTGCGATGGAATTTTTTTCTAGGGGTATTGATGATTTATATTTAAGGAATCCTAAACTTTATTATCGTACTATTCGTGGTATTCATATTTCTCATCTTAGTTTTGCTGATGATTTCATACTTTTCTCTAATGGTTCTATCAATAATATTAAATTGTTGCATAATTTTCTGGATTACTTCAATAAGGTTAGCGGTTTAGCTATTAACAAGGAGAAAAGTTCTTTCATTGCTGGAAAAACTATTAACAGGGAAAGGATTTTGGCCATTCAAAGATGTTGTGGCTTCCATTCCAAATCGTTGCCTATTACTTATTTGGGTACCCCTATTTACAAAGGTAAAAAGAGAAGTTTGTTATTTGAAGATATTTTTGCTCATTTTCAGAAAAAATTAAATCATTGGTCCTCTAACTTCCTTTCTTATGGTGGGAGATTGGTTCTTATTAAATCTGTGTTAAATTCTATTCCTGTCTACCTATTTCATACTCTTCAACTTTCTGCTACTATATGCCTTAGAATTGAAAGATTGATTAACAAATTTTTTTGGGGATCTAAGTATAGTAATGGTATTCGTTGGTCTTCTTGGAACAATATTTGTGGTGAGCTAAAAGAAGGTGGATTAGGTTGTAAAAATTTAACGGATTTATCTCAGGCTTTCTCTCATAAACTTTGGTTTTATTTTAGAACTAATTCCAGTTTATGGGCCCATTTCATGCATGCAAAATACTGTAAAAACCTTCATCCCTTACTTGGGGAATACAAAACCTATGACTCACATACCTAGAAAAGGCTTTGTAAAATTAAATGGAATGCGGAGCAAAACATCAAATGGGTGTTGGTAAAGGCAATATTTATTTTTGGCAAGATAATTGGTTAGGCACTTCTTCTATTGATAATCTTTTACATACCAATTCTCTTGATAGTACTAAAGTTTCTGAAATTTTTTTGAACGGTGGCTGAAATATGAACAAACTGTTAGATTATTTACCTATTTCTATCATTGATAAGATTGTTAGAATTCCTTTAGACTTATCCTGCAATGATAAAATCTTGTTCAAGCTTTCCTCTTCGGGTAAATTCCAAATTAGAGATGTTTGGGACACCTTCAGAGAACATTATGTTTCTAATTTTAATTTTGCTAATTTATGGCATCATAATATTCCTGTCTCTTATACTATTTTGATGTGGAGATGCATTAAAGGCTTCATTTCCGTGGATGATCTTCTTCAGAAAAAAGGTTTTAGCTTTCCTTCCAAATGTCAATGTTGTTCTAATATTGAAACGGCTAATCACCTCTTCGTTAATGGCTATATTGCTCAAAAGGTTTGGTATCATTTTTCTACCTTGACTAACATCAAGTTGAATTCCAATATGAATGAGTTATCTAGTATTATTAGTGGGTGGATGATTAATTCTAAAGGCCATATTCTCAATTTATTACCTATTCTTATTATTTGGCACATCTGGAAGGCTAGAAACGAAGCGAAATATAATAGTATTAAGATGAATGTTGATGGTATTATTTCTGCTATTAATTGCAAACTTAGACATATTTTCTCTTGTAAACTCCTTTTGGCCAAGCATTTTAGCAATTGTAAAGGTTTTGCTACTGCTATTGGCATTCAGCTGGGTGATACGTTTTTAACTGGTTTTGATAAAACTGTTTACTGGGTCAAACCGACTTATCCTTATGTTAAATTAAATTCTGATGGCTCCGTTAAAAATAATTGTGCGGGTATGGGAGGAATCATTCGGGATCATTTTAGCAATGCTCTAGCGGCTTTTGCTGGTCCTCTCTTTAACTGCTCGGTCATTACTGTTGAACTCAATGCTCTTTCTTATGGTATCAAAATCTATACTACTATGGGTTTTAATTTCATCTGGATTGATCGAGGTGGATGCCCAGCTTGTTGTCCAAATCATTAACGACCAGGTGATTGGAAATCCTAATAATTTCTATCTCATTAGGAAGATTAAACAGTTATTATCTTCTGTCAATTACAATATTTCTCATATTTATCGTGAGGCTAATGCTTGTGCGGATTGGTTAGCCAATTGGGGCTGTTTGTTGGATAACAGTCAGGATTTAAACATTAATGCTTTACATCCTGCTCTTAAAGGCGTGATTAATCTTGACAAAACTGCTTTACCTTATATCAGACACCTTTAGCTGTTTGTTTTTTTTTTTTTTTTTTGGTACCTTTAGCTGTTTGTTTTTTTTTTTTTTGGTTCTTTACTTACTTTATGAGTTGTTATGCTGGTTCTCTGTTATCTGGTTTCCTTTTTATTCTATGTTACTATTCCCTTATTGTGTTCAAAGTTTAGGTTGGGTTTTTGGAGTCTGTTCTTGCCTTATTTTGGTGCCTGTTTTGTCTAGTATGAGCAGGGTTTTGTGTTAATTCACATTGTTGTTGATTCGTTGCATTCTGGGAATCCTGTTTATACAATTTTTGTTAGATGTTCTGTTTGGGAATTCCTTAATTGTCATTCTGATCTTTATATAACCAGTTTTGATATTTACATTAAGCTCAATCTCTTGGTTACCCTGTTCTGGTTTTTCGATCACCACCTCTTCTTTAGTGTTGGTTGCTGCAGTTGCTGGCTTAACTCTGTTTCTTTTGTTATGTTTTTTACTGGATAAATGCTGGGTGGGTTTTAAACGGGAATTTTTCTGATAACTTCAAGGCCTTGAGAATTATGTTGCTTTATTTCTTCATCCTGGTGTTCTATGGTGTTCTGGGGGATTGGTTTTTTGGGAAGCTGCAGCTGTTTTCTATCTTCTATCCTTATGTGACTAAATGTGTGCTCTGCTGGTTTAAGATTCAAATTTTGGTTCTGCTATACCGGTTTTTCGCGCTATACAGAGAATATCTCTTCAATTATCAGGTATATTTATTTGGGTTTATACTTTGCTTTTGCTTTTTTCTTCATCTTTTTTGCAGGAAGATTGAGCTGAATGATTCTAAACGGATCTTCCAATTTTGGGTGCTGTATCCTTATACCCGTGTCTTTATTTATGTTCTTTTTGTAATCATAGGTTAAGGACCCACCGGCTCTTAGGTTTTCTTTACTTTTTCATTGTAGCTCTTTCGAGCATTAGCGAGCTGGAGGGTCCTTCTAAGGACTTTTGTAACCGTTTTTTTATAATTAACGCGTAAGCCCCTACCGGGGATTTTAACAAAAAAAAATCAACTGAAACTTGAAGTACAATTTTTAATCAATCATGCACCCCTTTTGCTGCCCTAAGAAACCACGTGTTGAAAAACATGCAGCCACTACCCATAATGCTACAATCAGTCAGCATGATAATCTATAACGGGCAGGTGACGGCGAAGAGCCGAGACGGACTAAGCAGGCGATAACCCTTTCTCGTTCCCCTCAAAGGCGAGGCGGCGAACCCACACAACGCCGGAGATGCCGCGACAGCGCTATCCGCCTCTTCCTGGTCCATTTCCCAGAGCACCAAGTTGAACGCCTCGACGCTACAGGGAAGCTCAAGTGAGCCCTTCGTCGCATATCCGAACTCTTCCTTGGCCTCATCGAGGAGTCTTCGAAAAAGATGGTGGTTCATCGACTCTGTTCGAATCTGGAACTTTTCTTTCTCCAATCCTACCCGAACTGAAACCCAACCCACCGGCGTTGCCTTGGCCCGGCCGGAGCAGCTCCTAAGCGAGCGACAACGTTGAAGTGCCTTGGACAGGAGACCTTTAGACCTGCAGGTACCAGCTTCAATGGAGCTTCGACAAATCTCCATTAATATGAAAGCTGAAAGGAAAGCTATCCTCTATCGTAGTCTTGGCGATAGCTTTGTGAGGATATTATAAGGATGAGAAAGGAAGAGAGGATACGTTCAGGTTGTAGCTGGGGGAATAGTACATTGAAGAGGATACGCTCAGGTTGTAGCTGGGGGCATAGTACATTGAAGCTGAAAGTAAGATGGAAAGATGAAAGGAGCTTCGATTAGTTATACGTAGTGAACGGACGGATGCAAGTTGCTTGCTTTATATAGGAAGTCATTGGAGCAAGTTGAGAGAGCTATATGATGAGATTAATGGAGTCACGGCAGTTGACAAATTGAGAGTTTTAAATGTGTTATGAGATGCGGCCTTCTGCGCCGGCCTTCTGCGCCTTAAATGGCATCCGTTTCAGGAGAATATTCAACTTTGAACAATACTACATGTATTTGTTAAGAAAATGCCTATCTTATATCCTCAACCTCCATTCTTTATATCCATCCTCGCATTAAACCAGCTCAAATATGTTAGAGCGAAGCTCTAATCACTACATTTTCCGGCGGCTATTTCCATCAAAAAAATGGTCAAAATCCATCGGAAATTAGCATTTCCGGCGGAAATGTTCTTGCCGGTAACACACGCATCGCAAAAGGCTTTCTGGCGCAAAATAATTCACCAGAAACATTTCCGGCGTATTTTCGGTGGAATTTCGACTGGAAAAATAGTCCAGGAGCCTGCACAAAGCCCGCCCGCACATATTGCACGCCCAACCCGCGCCCGCATTGACAGCCCAGCCGCACGAACAGGGCCCGCTCGCGCAATATGGCTTCAGCAGGGTTCGAACCCCGCCTCTCTATGCGCGGCAAGCTCTCCGCCCTTCTACCATCTGGCCATTAAATAAAAACTGCAAAATTTGCTACTTTATTTTATTTAAGTTATACCTAATAAATAATAAAAGTATTAATTACTTTAAAAGTAAAAATACTTTTTTGAAAGATAAAAATAAATATAATTTAATTTAACAATGAATTATTAAATTAGTTAATTTAATTTAACAATAAATTATTAAATTATTTAACTTCATTTAATAAAATAAAGAATTATAAAAATGTATTATAATTTAAGTTTTAATTTAAATCATTTAATTTTTTAATGAAAAAGCCAAATTATTGTAGTTCATTTGACTTAATGAACAATTCCTATAAAAATTTATTTGCCATGTGTGAAATTTAATTGTGTTGATCAATCAAGTTCTACTGTTGACTCATATTTGAATTCCATCAATCACGTGCATCGAGGGCTTGTAGGGGAACCTCCCCTGCTTGGGGTTAGGGGGCGCTTTATAATCGTACATCATTGGAAGTTGTATACTTTAGTATTATGTTGGAAACAAAATGCAGAGTATTGTCGTGGCACTCCAAACCCCGGTGCTACCACTCATACTAGAGATAGAGACTGGAGTCCTATGGAGCTCCAAATCCTAGCATTGCAACACTGTGAGTCAAATTGAGCAGATTTCTTTCTCGTTAATTTTGCATGCTTAATTTGAAAGATTGTGTCCATTGGTGTAATTTAAATCTCTCTTTGTCTATTCTATATAGAGAATGAAGTGTAAAGTGAAGAGAGACAATGAGAGAGGGAGAGAGAGAAAGAAATATGTATAAATTCTCTTAATTTTTATAGTGAATTTTTTGGTATACTATAGCTCCATGATTTTTTCCTGGTAATACATAAGCAAAAAATTATCATCATCAGGCATGAATAACGAAGCATATCTCATTTAAAAATTTAAAATTAAATTCAGGATCATCCAATCTTTAATCTCAAAAAACTCATTGTCAAACTGAATGTCTCGACAATACAAATCCAATGACACCAATATTTGTCAAATATAAGCCTATGGGCCCAAATCAATAGCCTAAAGAATATTTGAAAGTTTCAAGATATTAATTGGATGACTGAATGATATTCTAATATAGCATGCTTAAAGTCAAATTGAGCAACTTAACGAGACGAATCCATTATGTCCAAGATTAGGGATGTCAATATTTGACACGATCTAAAAACTCGATGTGATTCTGACCCAAAAAGTTTAGGTTGTGGTCAACCTGTTTAGCAAAGGGGTTAGGTTATGATTCCAAAATTTGACCCATTTAAAAAAATTGAGTCTAGTTCATGTCAACCCGCTTACCCGAAGTTGACTCGAATTTGACCTGATTCCAGGTCTGGGCCTTCGCTAGTTAGCCTACACTCACACAAGCATAGCCCCGCTGCTCGTATAGGCCTAGGGTTTGCTTTTCCTCTTCTCGTGAAGGCATAGTCTTCCTGCTTCGCAATCACCTCCTTTGACGACATTCCTTCCTATATATCTGGTGCAAGTATTCTATAGTTGGATCAGAAGTAATTATGATGAAAATGAGAGGGAGCTCACCGTTCTGTAGTTGGATCGGAAGTGACAAACTAATGATGATGAAGGGATGCACTTAGCGTTCTAAAGTTGGATCGAAAGTAATGACGATGATAAAAGGGAGCTTTGAGCTCGCCATTGTACAACTGGATTAGAAGTAACGTACAAATGGCGTTTATGGGAGGGACTCGCATTGTGGTCTCGTGTCGAGTCAAGTTAACCCAGAAACACTACAGGTCGTGTCCAGATTGAAATTTTTGACCCGTCTACAAAAATGGGTTGAATCAAATAGTAGCAAGTCAATGTCGGGTTCTACTAGAACTCAATACATAACTTGATTTTGACATCACTACCCAAGATTATTATTACATCATTAAGGCACTTAAATATTAATTGAACTTTTTCTATCAAGGGATCAATATGGGCTATCTGATAGAGCACTCCATTTTTTTCTTGAATCTTTCTATATTTACGGAGCATGTTAATCTCCAAATCTATAAATGAACCCCACACTCTACATAAGGGGGCCTTTGAGGCTTAGACCTTTTGCTAAAGATTGGACTGGACTCTAATGCTCCAAGTATCCCAAAGCTTTACCCGAGCACAACTGCCAGCAAAACTTCATCAACAGGCCATCACCCCCAAAGCTCCACCCGGCCAACAATCAACATTGAATCTCCACCTTTCCACCAATCACTTTCTGACCTCCACCTAGTCATTGATCGACCATCTAGTATAGCCCCTCTGATCATTATCGCCAAAAAAAATGCTTTCATCCTCAAACATCTAAATATTATCCTTTGACCTTAATCACCTGACTGTAGTCCTTTGACTTCACTCGCACGACTATGAACCTTAAACCTTAGTCAACTGACTATAATCCTTTCAACATCCATCACCCAACTATGACCTTCTGAACTCTATCATTTGACTATGATTCTTCTTCTTACCTCTATCATTTATTAACTACAACCTTAAAAACCTCTGTCGCCCACTAACTATGGTCCCTCTGAACTCCATTGCCTACTGACTAAGGTCCCTCCGACTATCATCATATGACTATATATAGCCTTTTTTAACCTCCATTGTCTGCAGATTACGGTCTCTCAAACCACCATCATCCGTCGATAACAATCCTTCCAACCTTAGTCTCTCACTAATTACTATCAATCCTTTCTCCTTCGTCCACCGATTATAGTCCATCTGACCTCAATCGCCTTACTATAATTCATCTAATCCTATATGCACAACTACAATCAATCTATCCTCAATTGCCTAACTACAGTCCTTCCAACCTCTGTCGCTCACAGACTACGATCCCTCCAACCTCCATCGCCTGCCCATAATAGTCCTTCTAACCTCGACACCCATCAAATAAGAAACCTCGAACCTCTTGTGAGAACTTTAAATTCAGAGTTCTGTTTGATCCCATCTAATTAGATTAAAAGTCAAGTAACCTGTTAAATTTTAGCATTTGAACTCTTTTGTTCATGTCAGAGAGTGTTCCATGTGCATTTAAAGGTCTACATGTGTTCTGAAGTGAGTTCAAGGGGTTTGAATTCATATTAAAAAAAATTCTAAAAAATTTTCTCAGAGCACCTTGATGCTATGTTTCATGCACTGAAGTCTTAGGAAAATTTGCATTTAATTCACTAGTGTGCGGCGTGGGAGGTGTTGTTGTGAATTCTACAAGGTGGTGTTGTGGCTAGAGAAGCAAGTCACCGTGGTGTTAGAGAAAATTTTAATATTAAAATATCCAAATCCACTATTTATTTCATTTCATTTTATTTTGAGTAGTGCCTCGTGAGAAAGAGAGAGCGTTTCCTGGTAAGAGAAAGTTCATTTCAGCCTACTTCGTATCATTTTTAGATGCAACCCTATCAGAAAAGTTACTCGAATAAACATAGGTTACGTTTTGCATATCTTAAATTTTTAATAGTTTGATGTATTTTTTGGATTACTCTGATGAAATTTATAAATTTGTTACAAAAAATGAGGATAAATTTATATTGGTAAAACTTTCACTACGTATTATTTTGTATGTTATAGAGATTGAGATTTTTAGCATTTTAAATATTTTCTTAAAATTTTAAACTTGATATTTTGAAATTTATGCGTCTTTATTGAATAAAAATAATTTAGATTCTAAAAATATGGTTGTAGTATAATTAATACTTATAATGGTGTTGGGTACATTCTCTGATAATTTGATTAAATTCTAAAATGGCATAATTTTGCTCAGTAGTATTTATGTTGCTTATCGTTATAACTTTTGGTGAAATTCTTTCAATAACAAAATGATAAATGTGTTTTATTGTGCTCTATTGGGTGAAATAAGGAGGTTAAGGAGGCTTGGCGTGAAAACAAAGAATGTTGGAAGATTTATTCTAATACCTATAAAGCATATTTTGGTGGCTAAAAGTTATATTCTAGTGTTACATGCATGAAGTAAGAATTGTTATGTACTATATGCACTATGCTATATATTCATATTTTGATGCCAATGACGCATTATAACTTATATTAGGTGCTATTTGTACCACTACAATAAATTCATCTATTACCGGCAATTTTCCTGGTTTTACCGGTGGTTCGAAAAAACACCGGCGGCTTTTCGTTGGTTGTCAAGCCTCCGGTAAAAATCGCGTCTGACATCGTTACCGGCAGTTTATTTCCCCCAACGGCTTACCAGTGGCCTATGCCGCCGGTTATCAACGGAGTTATTACCGGCGGTTTTCCGGGTGTCCAACCGCCGGAAACCATGCCAGCGGCTCACCAGCGGTCAGTGCCGACGGCATTGCCGGCAATTTTAGCC